GTATGAGGTGGAAGTGAGGATACTGGCTGAACACCATTCATCCCATCATACAGTCTACTTGGGGATTATTATCTAAGGCCTAAAGTGATATACATATTGGTAAGGGTATCCACTCCTTACTGCAGTAGACGTGATTTGTGTGTGTTTAAGCACTTTAAAGAGTGATTCATTTACACGGCTCTTCACTATATATAGTGTATTGGCACATGTTTGCTGTTTACACCTTTTGTTTTCACTTTGGTGAAGTATCACTGGATGAGTTATATGTTGTATATATACTAAGGATAATGCACTATGTGGTTTTTATTTTTGTTTTGTTTGAGGTAAACCCAGCTTTTACAAGACTCTGAAGAGATTATCACTTTGTGGACAATTTTTGGATATTTTTTGTTTTTTAGAGGGACATTGGCTTTCAAAAACTTTCAAAAACTTTTGGGCTATTTGATTTAGGACTTTTTGATTTATATGCACCAATTGGGGGTCAAGGGTCATTATTGATTATTATCACTGAGCATATTATTTGTATATTTTGTACACCTCTAAGGGTAGGGGTGAAAGTGTGCTGATACGGGACATTTTTGTTTAAGTGATTTACTAATATTAATATCAATCAAGCTGTAGGTGTGTGTTTTTGGTTGAAACTGGCCAGCATCAGCACAGTACATGAGCACAATGACTAGACAGCAGAAAGAAAGCTCTTCGGTGAAAGACTTTTTTTCCTGTATATGCTGTTGGCAGCTCTGTTGTGTTCTGCAGCCTCTGCTTCCACCATGGAAAAAGTAATAGGGATTTGGGTACCACATGAATGAGGAAACATGATTCTGCACTACAGAGCTCAGCGGGTAAACACCTTATTGAGACAAGTTAGCAGCAAAAGGCATACACACCTACTTCACATGGGTTCCAAGCAGGAACTTTCTGTTACAGTGCTGCTCATGCATTCTTTTCTTACCCCATCTCCTCCGGGGCACATATCAGTCATTTTATTTTCAGTACTGCTAATATTTATTTATTTCAGGTACTTACATAATGCTGTCAATTTACGCCACGCTTCACATATATATTGCACATTCACATCCGTCCCTAACTTTCAAGGGGTGTACAATCTAAGGTCCCTAACTTACAGTGGGGCAAAACAGTATTTAGTCAGCCACCAATTGTGCAAGTTCTCCCACTTAAAAAGATGAGAGAGGCCTGTAATTGGCATCATAGGTAGACCACAACTATGAGAGACAAAATGAGAAAAACAATCACATTGGCTGATTTGGAAAGAATTTATTTGCAAATTATGGTGGAAAATAAGTACTTGGTCACCTACAAACAAGCAAGATTTCTGGCTCTCACAGACCGGTACCTTCTTCTTTAAGAGGCTCCTCTGTCCTGCACTCATTACCTGTATCAATCGCACCTGTTTGAACTTGTTATCAGTATAAAAGACACCTGTCTACAACCTCAAACAGTCACACTCCAAACTCCACTATGGTGAAGACCAAAGAGCTGTCGAAGGACACCAGAAACAAAATTGTAGACCTGCACCAGGCTGGGAAGACTGAATCTGCAATAGGCAAGCAGCTTGGTGTGAACAAATCAACTGTGGGAGCAATAATTAGAAAATGGAAGACATACAAGTCCACTGATAATCTCCCTCGATCTGGGGCTCCACGCAAGATCTCACCCCGTGGGGTCAAAATGATCACAAGAACGGTGAGCAAAAATCCCAGGACCACACGGGGGGACCTAGTGAATGACCTGCAGAGAGCTGGGACCAATGTAACAAAGGCTACCATCAGTAATGCACTATGCCGCCAGGGACTCAGATCCTGCAGTGCCAGACGTGTCCCCCTGCTTAAGCCAGCACATGTCCGGGCCCGTCTGAAGTTTGCTAGAGAGCATTTGGATGATCCAGAAGAGGATTGGGAGAATGTCATATGGTCAGATGAAACCAAAATAGAACTGTTTGGTAGAAACACTACTCGTCGTGTTTGGAGGAGAGAGAATGCTGAGTTGCATCCAAAGAACACCATACCTACTGTGAAGCATGGGGGTGGCAACATCATACTTTGGGGCTGTTTCTCCGCAAAGGGACCAGGACGACTGATCCATGTACAGGACAGAATGAATGGGGCTATGTATCGTGAGATTTTGAGTGCAAACTTCCTTCCATCAGCAAGGGCATTGAAGATGAAATGTGGGTGGGTCTTCCAACATGACAATGATCCCAAACATACCGCCCGGGCAAAGAAGAAGTGGCTTCGTAAGAAGCATTTCAAGGTCCTGGAGTGGCCTAGCCAGTCTCCAGATCTCAACCCCATAGAAAACCTTTGGAGGGAGTTGAAAGTCCGTGTTGCCCAGCTACAGCCCCAAAACATCACTGCTCTAGAGGAGATCTGCATGAAGAGGGACGAAAGATGAGGAATGGGCCAACATACCAGCAACAGTGTGTGCCAACCTTGTGAAGACTTACAGGAAACGTTTGACCTCTGTCATTGCCAACAAAGGATATATAACAAAGTATTGAGATGAACTTTTGATATTGACCAAATACTTATTTTCCACCATAATTTGCAAATAAATTCTTTCCAAATCAGCCAATGTGATTGTCTGGATTTATTTTCTCATTTTGTCTCTCATAGTTGAGGTCTACCTATGATGCCAATTACAGGCCTCTCTCATCTTTTTAAGTGGGAGAACTTGCACAATTGGTGTCTGACTAAATACTTTTTACCCCACTGTACATTCATACATACACATATTAGGGTCAATTTAGACAGGAGCCAATTAACCTAACAGCATGTCTTTGGAGTGTTGGAGGAAACTGAAGTACCCAGAGAAAACCCACACAGGCACAGGGAGAACATGCAAACTCCAGACAGGAGGTGCCGTGACTGGGATTTGAACCAACGATCCAAGTACTGCCAGCGGAAGTGCTAACCATTTAATATACACTTTTCCTCATCCCTTTCTGTTAATCCGGCCACAGGAACAGGGGGGTTGGAGCGCTGGCAGCGAAGAGGAGGATTGTGGTGCTGGTTTTAAGGAAGAGTGTTGTGGGGCTGTCAGTGAGGAGTGTTGGGGTTCACTACTGCAAGGGAAAATGTCACCAGCACACTGAGGATCATCATATAAATGTTTTAATGAACGATCACACAGTTACAGCAAGGCAATGTTTCGGAGTCTCGCAGGACCCCTTCATCAGGCATGTGTCGCCTTGACACTTTTCCTTGTCCCTGTCTGTTAATCCTGCCATAGGAACGGGGGGGGGCTGGGGCACTGGCAGTGAAGAGGAGGATTGTGGTGCGTGGTTTTAGGAAGAGTGTTGTGGGGCTGTCAGTGAGGAGGAGTGTTGGAGTTCACTGCTGGACGCATTTTTTTGAACAGCAAATAACAGCAAAAAGGCAGACAGCAGCAAATGGAGGGAAATGGGCGTAGAATCCTACAGCCACAGGCTGTCTACCCTTCCTCAAGTCTTCCTTTGGCTAGAAAGACAGTCTGGAGTAGGACATCATCTGTTATAGACTGAAGGTTGTGTATGTTGTGTTTATGGCTTAGTCCTGCTAACGTGCCATTTTCCTTTTCCTCTTCCTCAAGGGTGCATAACAGCCACTTTATTTTTAAGTGCTGCTAATTGTCCTTTTTAATCTAATCCTCCTTTTCAAGGGCGCTGTCTTTTTCTTCTCCTCTGTCTTCTCCAATATTGCGGCACTTGCAACCTGTTTTGGCTATAGGACAGGGAGTGAAGAAAAATCTCCCAATGGGACACAGATGGAAAAAAAAACCTGATGGGGGTTAAAACCCTCCATTACTCTATCCAAAATGAAAAACAAGCTTTGTCTTTATTTCTACTTTAAGTCATACTCACTGTTTTCTTTTGCCCAATAGTAATGGCATAAAGAGTTTCAAAATTTAAAAAGAAAAAAAAGCTGAAGGACAGTTTTGTTTATATATAATTGACCTAACTAATGTATGCCTAAGTTTTGTTTTATTTATGGGGATATGCGGTGTTGTGAATGCGAATAATGTAATGTGAGGTGGTTTAAGTGCACAAACCATGCAAATGAAGAAAAACAAAATTGACTCATGAACAGACTGTGAGCAACAACCGTCTGATGTGCTCTAGTCAATCAAAGCTTAAAGTGTTAGTAAACCCACAACAGTAAAATCAGTCTATATATGCAGTAAAGCATGCTTGTTATACTCACTGTGAAACGGGTTAATCCTTCACATTGTGTAAAAAGGCTGTTTAATTCTGTCTTCTCTGATCCTCCCCTTTTTTTACTGTTCCCAGTCCATCTGTTGATAGTACAGAGCCCTAAAAGTCACTCTGCACATGCTCAGTTTAGTGTGTATGGCTAATGAGTTTTTTTTTTGGGGGGGAGGGTGCATGTGATCAGCACAAGGCCAATCAGCACTGTCCAGACAGAGGGTCAGGGGGTATACAGCCTCATAGGACAGTCAGAGCAGAATGAAAATGCCTCCTACAAGATTGACCAGTGCTCAGCTGGACACTGTTAGAAGTCACAAGACTGCTATATGCTGCTGATGAGAAAAGGTATTTAGCAGTTTATATTTCCTAAAATAATTGAATGTCCATGTTCTGTGTACTGTTTAGTATTCAGGGTCCTGGGTTTTGTTACATTTTAAAGTTATAATATTGTAGCACTACCCCCATAGGACCTGCTGAAGATTTGGGTCCCCCTATAGTCCTGCACAGCTAGGCAACATGCAATTCCTTCCAGCCTTGCACTCCAGAGACAGTAAACAGTCCTTGAACTTGTTTTTATTTATTTTATTAGGGGATTTAACCGCCTTCCGCCCGCCATATAGTAAACGACGGACGCAAGGTGGTTCTCTCGTTCTGGGAGGACGTCACATGATGTCCTCCCATTCTAATTGCGCATGCGCGGCTCCCAGAGCACGCAGAGTGGCGATCGGCAGTGCGCTGTGTCCCTCGGACACAGCAAATCACCGATCCATGGAAAGAGCCAAACATGTTGGCTCGGTCATGTGATTAGCTGTGTCCAATCACAGCATATCACATGTAAACAGGGAAAAAGCCGGTTAACGGCATTTCTCTCCTCACGAGCTGTCACACTGACAGCTCGTGAGGAGATGAGAGCCGGTAGTCGCATTCCTCGGAGGGGACGTGTACACAGATCATCAGAGCACTGATGATCAGTGTGCCCTGATGATCTGTGTAGCCCCAGAAGTGCCCCATGTCAGTGCCCATCAGTGCCACATCAATGCCACATATCAGTGCCATCTGAGCTGCCTTTCAGTGTCACCCATCAGTGCCAGTCAATGCCACCTATCAATGCCAGTCAGTGCCACCTATCAGTGCTGCCAATCAGTGCCATCTATCAATGCCAGTAAGTGCCGCCTATGAGTGCCAGTCAGTGCCGCCTATCAGTACCAGTCAGTGCCGCCTATCAGTGCCATCTATCAGTACCGCCTATCAGTGCCATATATGAGTGCTGCCTTTCAGTGCCCATCAGTGATGCCTTGTCAATGCCCATCAGTGCCACCTACCAATGCCTCCTCATCAGTGCCCATCAGTGCCACCTATCAGTGTCCATCAGTGCAGCCTATCATTGCCCATCAGTGCAGCCTCATTAGCGCACATCAGTGAAGGAGAAAAATCACTTATTTACAAAATTTTATAACAAAAACTAAGACATTTTTTTTTTTTTTTTAATTTTCAGTGGTTTTTGGTTTGTTTTAGAAAAAATAGAGGTGATTACAATACCACCAAAATAAATCTCTATCTGTCACAAAAAAAATGCTAAAAAGTGTCATATGGGTACAGTGTTGCATGACCGCGCAATTGTCATTCAAAGTGCAACAGCGCTGAAAGCTGGAAATTGGCCTGGGCAGGAAGGGGGTATAAGTGCCCTGTAGGCTAGTGATTAAACTTGGATGGGGATGAGGGACACATGGGATGCCCAATGAACTGTTGAACTGAGGACAATTTCCTGGAACTATGTACAAGTGCTCAGAAGGATTTTCTTTTATTGGAGAGCTATCCAGCCTCTCCTGGTGTTCCACCTCAAACCCCAGATGAAATCTCCTCTTAATCCAGCTGCCTGAGGGAATCCCTGGGCAAGAGAACCCAGAATCTGCCACCTTAAGATCAACAGTCCCACATGGGGGCTAGTGAGGTTTCCCATCCAAATGCCCTTTCCCCCATCTGGCCCAGGGGGTGTACTACTCACTCCCTCTCTCCTGCAAGCTTGTGAGTTGGTGGCTAACTTCAGGCCTTACGCTGGGCTGGCTCCTTCCCTACTTCCCAGGCTGTCCTTTGTCAGGGGACGATTGAGGATGAGAGATCCTCCCTTCCAAGACCCCCACCTGTAGGCAGGCCCCTCTCCAGGACCCCTTTCCAGGCTACACACTTCACCCTGCTCACTCCATATTCCACCCGAACTCTTCTGCTGCTCTGTCACTGTTAAGGGCTGTCCTGACGGCATGCCAAGTTTCCTGCTTGGGGATTGACCAAATCCCTTCAGATTGCAGACCAGCTCCTCCTCACCCCCACCCACTGAATTCTAGAGACTTCCCCAAGTCTCTAGGTCATGGGAGGTTTCAGGGAACAGATCTGCAGAGCCTCTCAGCCTGACCCAAAGTTGACCCCTCGGGCTATTACACCCTGCTGCTATTCAGCCTCTAATTAAAAATAATTAACTAGCTTCCCCTAGCTTTCCTAGGAGGATGCTACAATATAAAAAAGGAAGTGAAAAAAGCAGCTAAAGGTATTGGCAATTTAAGAGTTATCAATCAATCAGTTGTTACAGACAGATATGAATTGAGATTTGTGATCGTGTGTGGAGCCTGAAGAGCTGTGAACCTAGTGATTGTGCTACTGCTATAGAGATAATTTAAGTGTCCTCAAGCATTTTGGAGTATCCCATTCTCCATTGTTCTCCTTCTGTCACAAGTTCTACAGCACGGGTGTCAAACTGGCGGCCCTCCAGCTGTTGCCAAACTACAAGTCCCATGAGGCATTGCGAGATTGACAGTTACAAACATGACTCCCAAAGACAGAGGCATGAAGGGACTTGCAGTTTTGCAACAGCTGGAGGGCCGCCAGTTTGACACCCCTGTTCTACAGCAGAAAACTTCAAAAAGACATCCCCTAGACTGATTACTGAGCCGAACTGAGGGAACTGTTGCTGTGTGCTCGGCTGCTTCTGCACTATCTGGGAAAGAATCTGTTCTAAATTCGGCCCTTTCAGGGGTGAGTGATACATTACCAAAGTAAAAACTATATAAATAAAATCCGTGCTGTGGAAAACAAAAAAAGTGTGAGGCTGTTTTCATATATAGACAGTATAACAAACCCAAATCAACATAAAAAAAAAAAAAACAAAAAAAGTGGAGCGCCACTATAAAATAATGTGTAAATTACATAAGTCTATCAATCAATGTACAAAATAAATCAGTTCATGAAGGCCATAAAAATGTCCGTATGAATGCGTTCTCAGTAAATGGAAACTGAAGAAACCACCTCCTTTCAAATGTGAAATAACTCTTCTTTAGGTGTTCCAGGACCAGCCACCATCTCCCTGTGAAGTTATCACTCACCAGAATGGATGGCTGCCCTTACAACATTTTGGATGAAACGAGTCGGGATGGAGTTCCTGGTGCTGATGTCATGCCTCTGCACAATCCCAGGTTGGCATCGGTTTTCTATGTGAGTGCTTTTGTTTGATCCTAAAGTAGACTGTTTTTGCAATATTTTAATAAGTTATTGCACTATTGGAGTTCATCCCTGGCGAAATGTATTTATTTTAGCTTGATTCCGACTGGAGGTGCCATTGGACGCATATTGTTTGGAAGCCTTGCACCCACTGTGAGAAAAATTTTTCCCTGTTGTAAGGGCAGCCATCCATTCTGGTGAGAGTTGACTTCACAGTGAGATGGTTGCTGTTCTTTGAACATTTAAAGAAAAGTGATTTCACATTTGGTGGTGGCGGATATTTTTCTTCAGTTTCTATTTACTGAGAACACTGTTTCAGTGGGACATTTTTACTGCCTTCATGAGCTGATTTATTTTGTACATTGATTGATTGATTTGATTGCACATTATTTTATAGTGGCGCTACACAGTATCAAAGTAAGGCCTCATTCACATGGAGCAATTAGCTCCGTGACCCATGTAGGTCCATCTTTTCCAGGCACTGGGATGCAAAGATGTTGCGTGCGTCCTGGTGTCAGCATCCCATTGATGTGTATTGGAACATACGGCTGCATGGACACAGCCTCTGCATCCCAAAATGACATGTGGGTGCGGGTTCCACAATGCACACAGGGTAAATTTGTGGACCCACACACATAGCTATGTGTCGCAATAAAAAACAATGGGATGCCAGCACAGAGATTCATGCAACACATGTGAATCCTTTTGCCAGAAAAAGATGTCTATGCACAGGACACGGAGCTAATCGCCCCACGTGAAAGGGGCATAAAAATTCATTTTGCAAAGTCAATGAATTAAAAAAAACTTTATCTGAGTTTATTTTGAATATCCAGTTACAGTTGCAAGAAAAAGTATGTGAACCCCTTGGGATTACGTGGAGTTTTGCATGAATTGGGCATAAAATGTGCTCTGAACGTCATCTAAGTCACAACAATAGAAGAACACAGTCTGCTGAACATAATACTACACAAACATTAGATGCTGCCATGGTTTAATTGCACATAACATGTAAACATTCACAGTGCAGGGAGGAAAAGGTATGTGAACCTTCGGACTTAATAACTGGTTGACCCTCCTTTGGCAGCAATAACCTCAACCAAACGTTTCCTGTAGTTGCAGATCAGACCTGCACAACGATCTGGAGTCATTTTGGACCACTCCTCTTCACAAAACTGTTTCAGTGTAGCAATATTCTTGGGATGTCTGGTATGAATCGCTCTCTTAAGGTCATGCCACAGCATTTCAATCGGGTTGAGGTCAAGACTCTGACTGGGCCACTCCAGAAGGTGTATTCTGTGCTGTTGCAGCCATCGTTTTGTTGAATGACTTGTATGCTTTGGGTCATTGTCCTGTTGCATCACCCATCCTCTGCGGAGCTTCAGTTGGCGGACAGATGGTCATACATTTTCCTGCAAAATGTCTTGATAAACTCTGGAATTCATTTTTCCATCAATGACAACAATCCGTCCAGGCCCTGAGGCAGCAAAGCAGCCCCAAACCATGATGCTCCCTCCGCCATGTTTCACAGTGGGGATGAGGTTTTGATGTTGGTGTGCTGTGCCTTTTTTCCTCCACACATAGTGTTGTGTGTTCTTCCCAAACAACTCAATCTTGGTTTCATCTGTCCACAGTATATTTTGCCAGTAGTGCTGTGGAACATCCAGGTGCTCTTTTGCAAACTTCAAACGTGCTGCAATCTTCTTTTTGGACAGCAATGGCTTCCTCCGTGGTGTCCTCCCATGTACTCCATTCTTGTTTAATGTTTTCCTTATTGTAGATGTGTCAACAAAAATGTTAGCATGTGCCAGAGATTTCTGTAGGTCTTTAGCTGACACTCTGGGATTCTTCTTTACCTCATGCAGCATTCTGCGCTGTGCTCTTGCAGTCATTTTTACAGGACGACCACGCCTAGGGAGAGTAGCAGCAGTGCTAAACTTTCTCCATTTGTAGACAGTCTGTCTTACCGTGGACACATGAAACATCAAGGCTTTTGGAGATACTTTTGTAACCCTTTCCAGCTTCATGCAAGTCAACAATTCTTGATCGTAGGTCTTCTGAGAGCTCTTTTCTGCGAGGCATGGTTCACATCAGACAGTGCTTCTTGAAACCAGTAAACCCAAAACAGGTGCGTGTTTTTTAAGGGCAGGACAGCTGTCAGCAACACATCCAATATCATCACACTGATTGGAGTCAAGGTTGGCTCACTCCTGGCTCCAATTAGCTCTGGGAGAAGTCATTAAGCTAGGGCCTCACATACTTTTTCCTCCCTGCACTGTGAATGTTTACATGTTATGTGCAATTAAACCATGGCAACATCTAATGTTTGTGTAGTATTATGTTCAGCAAACTGTGTTCTTCTATTGTTGTGACTTAGATGACATTCAGAGCACATTTTATGCCCAATTCATGCAAAACTCCACGTAATCCCAAGGGGTTCACATACTTTTTCTTGCAACTGTATGTGCAAGGGAAATAAACAAAACAGGATATTTTTCTTGCACATGATTGGATGATTGAATTGAGCACAGCTTTTCCCTATTTACTAAGCATAGTGAGTAGAGATGAGCGAATCGAACATGGCGAAGTGGAATTCGTTTTGAAGATTAGGAAAAATTCGATTCGCGCCGAATCCGAAAATTAGCAAACTTCGGATGCACGAATCGAATTTTCCCAAAAATGGCGGCGACATGTGTGGCGACGGAGCGGGGATCTCTGGGAAGGCGCGCAGACAAGGCGCCCTGACCCATAATGCATTCATTCATGACATGTGATCGCATTAGCCAATCAGC